AGGCCCAGAGTTCAGGCCCCACGACCGGACCCAAAAAAAAAAAAAAAAGAATGAATAAATAGGGGTGGGAAGGTGGCTCAGTGGTAGAGTGTTTGCCTTGCACATATGAGGCCCTGGGTTTTATTCCTCAGCACCACATAAGCAGAAAAAGCCGGAAGTGGTGCTGTGGTTCAAGTGGTAGAACGCTAGCCTTGAGCTGAAGAGCTGAGGGACAGCTTCCAGGCCCCACAACTGACAAAAAAAAAAAGCAAAAGGCCATGTCTCATGTGGCAGAGCACTACCTAATAAACAGAGAAACCTGAGTTTAAACCCCAGAACACCACGAAATAAATAAAAAACTGGCAGGATATGAATGGTTCTATGCAATAGAAAGAAGAGTATAGTGTTCTAGAAAGCAGTATAAGAAATAAGGGCTGACAAGCGCTGGTGGCTCCTGCCTGTAATCCTAGCTACTCAGGAGACTGAGATCTGAGGATCATGGTTCAAAGGCAGCATGGGCAGGAAAGTCCATGAGACTCTTATCTCCAATAAACTACTCAGAAAACCAGAAGTGGTACAGTGGCTCAAGTGTTAGAGCACTCGCCTTGAGCTGAAGAGCTCAGGGACAGTGTTCAGGCCCAGAGTTCAAGCACCAGGACCAACAAGAAACAAAAACAAAAAACCTAGCATATGCTAAAAACAAAAACAAAAGGTGGGCACCAATGCCTGTAATCCTAGCTATTCAGGAGGCTAAGATCTGAGAACTGAGGTTCGAAGTCTGCCCAAGCAAAAAAGTCTCCCTGAGACTCTTAGCTCAGAGATAGTACCCAGGCACAGAGTTCAAGCTCCATAACCGCAAAAAAAAAAAAAAAAAAGGGAAAGAGCCAGGCGCCAGTAGCTCACGCCTATAATCCTAGATACTTAGAAGGCTGAAATCTGAAGATCAAGGTTCAGAGCCAGACCAGGCAGGAAAGTCCGTGAGACTCTTATCTCCAATAAACCACTCAGAAAACCAGAAGTGGTGCTATGGCTTAAGAGGTATAGCGCTAGCATTGAGCTGAAGAGCACAGGGACAGTGCCCAGGCCCAGATTTCAAGCCCCATGATCAACCAAAATAAATAAATAAATAAAAATAAACCAAAAATCAAAAGGAAGGAAGGGAAATGAAAGGAAGGAAGGCGGGCTGAAAGGGAACCATGAAAGAACTAAAGAGGCTGAGTTCCTATGTGAGATATAAGAAGATGGTGGAGCAGCTGAGGAACTTTTAGGACAGGCAACACTCAACACTCAACCTGTTCATCTCACTCTCACTTTTGATGGAGCTGACTATCTCTACAAAGGCCTTCTTTTAATTGGGTTTATTTTGGTGTGCAAATATTACAGAAAGGGCCAAACTCTGTATTTAAGTTGATAAACTATATTCAGTCATTGCAAACAAGGAACCGCAATCCATCAATAAGACAAATTCAAGTCTTATAAGACACAAATTCAAACACTTCCAGAAAAGCTGCATATTCATAGGCACTTAACTGGTCACAATGAAACACACTTTAAAGTACTTACCTCATCATAGTGACTTTTTGCAAATAGTAGTGCACATAGTTCTCCATAGAGTGCCGCTTTGTTTGCTTGCTGGCCATGTTTTGACAACTTATCCATATATGTCTGAGCTAATTTAAATGTTTCTTCACCCAAATGGTATTTGCAGTTTCCATTTCGTACATGAAGCAATCTGCAAAAACAAATAATAGTCCTTTATTTCTGGCAAGTATAGCATGGTGGACCTGATAATGTTCTACCATCACTATGTAGCACGTAAGTGCAAGCTGCACTGCCAAAAGACTGGTCCAAACGGGAGCTAAATAAGTACAATAAGCTGGGTGATGGTGGGGCACGCCTGTAATCCTAACTACTGAGGAGGCTGAGATCTGAGGATCATGGTTCAAAGCCAGCCGGGGCAGGAAAGTCCTGAGACTCTTATCTCCAATTAACCACCAGAAAACTGAAAGTGGCACTGTGGCTCAAGTGGTAGAGCACTAGCCTTGAACTGAAGAGCTCAGGGACAGCACCTAGGCACGGAGTTCAAGCCCCACAACTGACAAAAGGAAGGAAGGCAGGAAGGGAGGAAGGCAGGAAGGGAGGGAGGGAGGGAGGGAGGAAGG